AAGGGAGAAAATAAAGAGAAGAGGGCCTTATGACAGTCCTAGAAGACATTTACAATAAAGGGGCAGGAGGTAGATGATGACCAAGTGAGTGTTTGAGAACTGGTAGTAGGCAAATCAAGAGAGGACTGTATAAAGCCAAGGAAAAAGGGAATAGTTAACCTTACCTTTAACTGTAGCCATCCTACTATAGAAATCCTTAAATTACCCTATGTCTAACTGAACTGTCTCTGGAAAAAGGATGTCAATGACAAGGAAACATTACTTTTTTTAGTCATCAAAGGATGCTAGAGACTTGCTCTTCTCTTCTGGTAGTTTATTGATAAAAACACAAATTCAATTCATAAAGTGAATAGAATCAAGGCTATATTAATCACTCAGTAATAAGGAAGGTTTCCAGCTAGGCACTGGAGAGCAAAAGATAAGAAAATTACTTCCCTAACCCATAAAGGTACATTTTTCCAATAGATAGAGAAGCAGAAATATACTATAAATTTTTAAAATATTAATAAAGAGAGCCAATCTAAATATCTATATTCATTTTTTAAACATTGTCTAGCAATTTTTTTGTATATGAGATCACATTCAAATTATGAGACTGATATTGTTGGATGGAAGACTTTTGTATATGTCTGAAAGAAAAGAGTCTTGTGTTTTAGGGATTACAATAGTTGAATAAGGAATTGTTTTTGTATTTTCCTATACGTTGTTGCAAAAGGGTAAAAGGCCTCTTGGAAAAGAAAATGGAGAGCCATTGTGACTGTGATACATACTGGTTCTGGGACCATGGACAAGCCACAACTCCTTAGTGTCCCAGTCAATTTCTGAGACCATTAAGTTATAGATGCACACCAGTGAATCAGAGGCTTGAAACACAAGCACATGCGCGTGTACACATATACACACACACACACACACACACACACACACACACACACACAACTTTCAAGGTATGAATAACTCCAACAAACTCTTTACTCAGTTGTTGTTCAGTCACATCTGAGTCTTTGTGACCCCATTTGGGGTTTTCTTGGCAAAGAAACTGGGTGGTTTGCCATTTCTAAGTTCTCCAGCTCGTTTTACAGATGAGGAAACTGAGGCAAACAAGGTTAAGTGATTTGCCCAAGGTCACACAGCTAGTAAGTTTCTGTGGCCAGATTTTAACTCAGGAAGAGGTATCTTCCTGACTCCAGGCCTGGCACTCTATCCACTCTGCCACCTAGCTGCTCCCTTACTCACATACTACATACCAAATGGTATCTATATAGCCTTCAGATTACAGCTAGTACACATAAAAATGTCTTCATATATTTTTCTATGTACTTCAAATGCACCTTTAGGTTTTTACATATTTCCTTTCCCCTACACAGTTTCCTCCTCTTTTAAAAAAAAAACATTAACAGATACATGTAAGCAATTTTATCATGAAAGTATCTCACATCACCCCTACCTCAAAAAGAGGAAGCCTACAGTAGTACCTTTAAGAAACTTTTGGTAACTGTTTCTTTCTGGAAATAGTAAATAGAATAGCAAAGGGCACCTTGACTACTTCTTCAAGACCTGAAATGAAAATGAGGCATTTAGATCTGCTGTTCTAATCACGTTCACACATTGCTCCTTTCTACAGAGAATCTTTAGCAACACCATACACTTAAAAGATCAGAGGCAAGAAATAGAGAGGAACATTACCTATAAGCCCATGCATTCCAGTGATTTTAAAGCCTTTCTAATAGATACTATTGATATGCATTGCCTTCACACAGTAGGCAGTCAAATTTTTTATTGAATAAGTAAACATAACTTTGAAGCATACTTAATTTATTTAATAGCTTTCTGGAAAGACAGGAAGACTTTGTAAAAGAAAGGCATTATACTACCTGTACATATCAATCATAAATCAGTCTTGGGGGGAGGGGCAAGATGGGGTGAAAATATGGAATTCAAAATCTTGTGGAAGTAAATGTCAAAAACTAAAAATAAATAAATTTATATATAAAAAAATAAATATTAAAAAAAATAAATCAGTCCTAACTTTGTAACTCTTCCGCACCCCCTGCTGTCTGATCATTGGATGGGCATTTTGAGTCAGGATAGCTCAAAAATTAACCATTTCTGAATAAGAAGAAATTTGAGAATGGAAGCATTGAAGATGTACATATTTTCAAGTAAAAGAGGATAAATCTAAGGATATCTAACATAAACTGTTATTTATAAACATAAATAAGAGAATAAGGCCCTATGCTTACCATACAGAACTACTATATACCAGGCAAATTCAAATTTGTAAAGAAAATGATGGCTGCTAGTAGGTAGGAAGAAAGATAACAGACTGGCTTGAAAATATATTTATTGTAAGTAAATATGAATAGAGTTTTGCTGAAGGAAATAGGAATATATGCTTTCAAACCAAGCTAAATGAAATACTGAACTAAAATGGATTATACAAGAAAATAATGATGAAGAAAAGGATTTTTGTAAAGTAGTAATTAAAATTGATCATTTGCTTTTGAAACTAGGAAAAATATGTTTCTTTTGCTTTTTTGCCATATCATCCATCAGAATTATGTCTCAAATATCTTCATACATACACAGCTTTGTGTTACGTGATTTTAATTCAGCACAGTACTCTCATGAGAATTCATCTGTAAGGCAAAAATGCCAAGAGGAGTTTAGCATTTCTTTTAATCATAACCATATTGCTCTTTAACATCCATTAGTCCTGAGAAGAGTGAAGTGGCACTTTGCCAGCTAGCTGAGTGCTACCATGCTTCTTTGTCACCTTAACTCAAAGCTAAATGAGTCAGTTATATAGAAATAGAATGTAGCAATATATGAAAAGCAAAGTTGTTCACTACTAGCATGGCCTCATGGCAATTTTCTGGAACTTTAGAAATTAAGGAAAGATTTTTATTTAAGTGATAACACCACAATTTTGGTATTTCACATGTATTTCAAGGGTCAGCATGCAAAGCTGAATAACCTTCCTTTAACTACAGAGTATCAGCTCTCCTTTTATTATTGTTCAGTCAAGTCTGACTATTCATGACCCCGTTTGGGGTTTCCTTGAGAAAGATACTGGAGTGATTTGCCATTTCCTTCTCCAGCTCATTTTACAGATGAGGAAACTGAGGCAAACAGGGTTAAGTCACTTGCCTAGGGTGACCCATAGTGGAACAAACATAGATGTTTCAGATAACAGCTACAGTAGAGCTCTTGGCTCCTTCTTCTTCATTCTTCAAAAGAACACTGAGGTGATTTCCAGAACTTAATCCTCAAATTTTTTTTTTTTGCTTCACAAGAGGAGCAAAGAGTGGGGAGGAATCAAGGATTGAAAGGCCAATATATAATAATCACCACTCCCCAATCACCCTGCCTGTAGCCACCATGGTATTTTTGTTTTTGAAAAACCTATTAGTGTGGCAAGTTTACTTTAACTATTGTACTTTTGTGTTTATTGACAACTAAGAGAAAAATGAAGGAAAATAATTATAGAAAGAATGCTAATTTCAAGACATTAAAATTGAAAAGTACAGGGGCAGTGAAGAATGGTGTTGGATGGTGGGGCTGGTAGAGAAGAGGAGCAAGTGGGGATTCTTGAACTTGACAGGTGGTCCTAGGAAAGTCATCTAAATTAACTTGACCTCTGTGTCCTCAGATAACCTAGTTTGCTTTCAGGGATACAACCCATCAGAAGCCCAAGATGAGAGTAATCAAACATCAGTCAGTCTACAAAAGCAAAATAAACTCAAGGTCACAGATATCCGTTGTAAACTCATTAGAAAATTCTAGCAGAAATGCATTTTTAGACTGGAGACACCTGTCTAAAGGTCCCTTAATCAATACTGCCTTTTTCTCTTTTTATTTCGGTCTTATGGACATGGTCAAAGGAGTGCGTGATCTATCTAAATGCCAGAAGCTTGATCTTCACACCACCAAGTAAGACCTGCTGCCCTGGTGTTTCTAGGCCACGTGTGAATGACCCCCAAACAACATGAACCTGAAGACAGAAGGACTTCATGATCGAAGTTGGCAATAGTCTCAGGTTTACTCCTCTCACTTCCCCTCCATCTAAAATAGATCCACCTATTCCATAGGGAATAGTCAACACTCCCATTCTCTTCTCCGGATGCACCATACACTAAAAACTCACCTTCAGGAATCACTCGGCTTCCAGAGTGGAGTTAGCAGACAGTCACTGTGGGTTTAAACAAGGAATAAAACCCCCCGAGTGGGGCAACTATCAGTCTAGGATTAGTGTCTTTCCACTGACTTGAATATGGGTCCAAATTTTGAATTATGCCAATCGTCTTTACCCCCTTCCCATCCAAGGTTCTCCAGAACAGAGCAGGGATTGCCGTGATTTAAATATTTAAGTTTGAGAGAGAATGAATCCTATTTTCTCTGTCTAAAACGGAAAGCACCAAGGAGACCGTCTCCTGCCTGTGAGACACTGAAAGGATGCAGGCAGGGGGGACGCAGGCGAAATTCCACCTCAATTCTAACCAGGACTCCTGTCCAACAGGGCGCACAGGGCACAGGCGCTCTGGCTCCTGTGCTTTCCTCCCGCCAGTCGCCTGCCTATCGATTCACGATCCGCTGCGTTAGTACATCCAAGTCACGGTTCCCGTGTACTCGGAGCCAGAGCCCAAACAACCACCTAGCAGGCACAAGTGCAGCCGTAGACTAGGTGCAGGGAGCAAAAGGACACCTATCGCGTCCAAGGAAACTACAGGAGTACCTGGCACGTCGGGGACTGGCCCTGAGCTCTTGCTCACAAACCCAGACAGAGCTTTACAAGGGTTTCCAAATTTCGGGCACCTGAATCAGGTCTGTTACAGGATGGGGGTTGCGTTGAGCGGCTGCAGAGGCAGTCCCGGGACGCCTCTCGACCCGCAGCCCAGTCTTCTTCCTTCCCGGTCGGCTCCAGCTGAGTCCGCAACCCTAACTGCTCTCCCTCCCGCACTGTGAGGCCCCTCACCAGCACCCCCAACCTCGAACCTTACCTGCCCGAGGGGTTTCCGGCAGCCCTTTGACAAGTCCCAGATGCCGCAACTGGAAAAGTTTCCTAACTTCTTCACAGGTCTGCAAATCATCGCCTCTCGCACCAGGGAAAAGGACCAAAAGGATGAAGAGGAGAAAGTCCAAACGCAAGACAGATCCTCCTTCCATAGCGATTCCAGCAACAGGAGCAGGAGCCCAGGCACCCCGGCTTTTCCCAGCAAAAGGACACTATTCCCCACTGCCCTTCTCGGACTCACCTGCTTTATCCCCTCCACCCTAGTGCAGCCCCCGAAAAAATACGTCTAAGATCGGAGACAAGAGTAATCCGAGAATCTTTGCTGGGGAAACTCGTGAGGAGGGCGCGAGGAGACTCGTGCACTGATTTCACCTGCGAGCCCTTTGCTTCCCTGGGATGGCTGCTGCGGCCGAAGCAGCCAGCTGGGACGCTATCTAGTCTTTGCCACACAGCGGAAGGGAGTTTGCATTTATTTGCTTGGGGGCTGGGAGAGTATCTGTGGTCACCGCTGCTGCGGCAGCTGCAGTGGCCAGAGCTTCAGCACCTCCACTCTCTCAGAGCCACTGGTTCAGCTTCCAGCTGCAAACCTGAAACCTAGCCCGCCTACTTCTGAGTGAGAAACCCCGCCCTCTTCTTTCCCACCCCCACCCCCCAACCCCCCTGCCCAGCTTCCCCAGTTTCAAGATATTGTTCAGGATCTAAGCCCACCCCTGTCTCTGACATCATAGCTTGTCTGGCCAGAGCTAGCCCCTTCCCCGCCTTACCCCCCCCACCACCACTAACCAGGCTCAACCAAGCTCAGGGAGAGCCTCAAATAGGAGCCTCGCTGTGGAAACAAATGAACAAAAAGCATGTTACAGAAAAGATCTGCAAAAGAGAGACTCCTAAAAAGATATCAGACACGACTTCTGGGGCGAAGAGATTTTTCTTCATTTATCAAGATTCTCGTTCCACTGGAATTCTGTTCAAGTTACCTGTGATGGTATCTGTCCCCAAGAAAACAGGCAGCAGTAGTTTGTATTTAATAGTAGGACCTTGCTAGTGATTTTTAAAATCACATCTATTATATTGTCTATGTTTGGGTGGATGAGAATCCACTTTTTTTTTAAGTACTCACTGTTATTGTAATAGGAATTTTTAATCTTTCTTTGAAGTGGATAGTATTTGAAAGTGTAACAGGAAAACACTGAACTTGGAATGAAAGGATCAGGATTCTAATCCCAGTCCTGGTCACACATTCCCTGTGTGACCTTGAGCATGTTATCCCTTTAAGGCTCACTTTCCTCAACTGTAAAATAAGGAAGTTGGATTAGATAACTATCTACAGTTCCAGCATTAATAATAATAATAATAATATGGTATTCTGAAAGGCTTCTAAAGTGGTAATAATTCATTTTATCATTTTTTCAACCAACATTTAATAACCATTTACTATATGCAGTGTTCTGTGCTAGGCACTGGGGAATAACACAAAGACTAATAAAACTGTGTCCTCAAAAAGCTTGCAGTTTAATGTGGGTGATGGCATGAACATAAATATTATAGTAAATATAATACTAATTAAAAAGAAAGGAAACAGTGAAGTGGTTAGTTCAAGAGCCTCTGACAAATACTGGCTGTGTGACTAGGGTAAGTTCTTCATCTCTTAGTCTCCCAGGCAACTCTTTAAAACTAAAACTTGAAGAACAGTTTAAGGGAATCACATGTATAATCGTAAGAAATGCTTTGAGATCAGATTAGGAAGGTTTGGGGGTAAGGGAAGGGAAGCAGCTTCCATGGTATAACTAACATTTAAACTTAGCCTTAAGGATGACTATATCAACAGAAGGAACTAGAAGTCTGGAATCAGATTTTGAGTTGGAAGGGACCTTAGAAGTCATTTTACATATGAGGAATTCAAAGTCCAAAGAAGTTCCAATGACTTACTCAGAGTCACACAGAGCCAAAAATCTAACCTAGATCTTACAAAATTAAACACTGGGCAACTCCAGATTTAGCAGACGACCTAAGCTCACTTTCAAGGAGAAAAACATTGTTATTTCTTTCCTATTATTAGCCAGAATGATACTTGCCAGTAATTCCTGTTATCTACCACTTGCATCCATGCCTTTTCAAAGGCTCTCTCCCATGTGTGTAATACCTGCCATGTAGAATATTTAGCTTCTTTCAAAGCACAATAGAAAGTGCCACCTCCTACAGGAGGTCTTTGTCAACCCCCTCCCCATAGTTGTTGGCTTTCTCATTTTCTGGAGGTTGACTTTGTGTAGACTTTGTGTTCACTCATCTTAATATGTATTGTGTCCCCTAGTACAATGTAAGCAGTTTGGGGGCAAATGACTATTTCATTTTTTGTCTTTTTATCCCATCACTGAGCAATGGGCTTGGTACTAGTAGGTGCTTAATAAATGTTTGTCAAATCGAATTGTTGTCCTTCAAATAATCCTTAATTATCAGGTTTTATTTTGAAACCTGGCAAGAATATTTCAACTTGTGACATTTTTTCTTAACAAGAGCCCTCCTTTTCAAAGAGAATATAATTAAGGAGGAGATACAAAGTCAATTTAACTATTTAGCAAAGACTTTAACTTATTTAATATGAAAGATATTAATATTATTAATTCAAAATATATAGGTAGATATATATAGGTATATATAAATACCTATTATGTATAGCTATATATATCATATATGTGTATATATGTACACTCTGTGTGTATTTATACATATATAGATAGATACAGCAGCTTTTTATAGTATGATGTAATGGTGAGAGCTGACCTAAGAGTCAGGAAGACATGAGTTCAAGTACTGCCCCTCACATATGCTAGCTGTATATCCACGGGCAAGTCAGTGAAGCTCTCGTTGTCCCAGGCAGTTCTCTAAGATCATAAAGTAGAGATGCAGAGGCTGTTTTCACACTGGAAAGTCCCCATACCAATGGTGAAATCACCAGTCTAAACTCCTCAAAAAGATGACTTCTATCCAAAATATGCAAAGATTTATGTTATAGATTGCATGAAAATATATGTATGTATAAAAGACACAAGCTTCTCTTCATTCAGCACCACCTGAAGCTAACACTAATAGGGTGAAATATAACAGTTTAAAAGCACAGTGTAAGATGTAAAAAATGCATACCACTTAAAGGAAATTTGAGTTTCAGAAGGCCTCTAGCCCAAGCTCGGAATCTTTCCAGGGAACATAGATTAATATATTTAACTCTTACTAAAGTGCCATGGGACTTGTAATGACCACAGGTGGAAGGGATATTGGTTTTGCATTCAATATCAAAGACAGCCCTTTTAGCATCAGGGGCAGCACAAATTTATAAGCTATTCCAGAGCAATGGTTGAAATGTACATCTCCAGAGACAACAATAATGTTTATTCAGTTGACCTGATTGCTTGAATCCTCTTTTCTCCCTCAGCCTAGTTCGAAGGGGAAGATGCAGAAACACCACTGTAAAATCAAATTCCTAGCCTCATATCACTTACCAGAACTACCCTTACTAAGCACCCTGACTCCCCATCTCCCTTGCACATACAACATCCAATGCAAGGATCCAAAGAGATCTGAGCATAAGAAGAAATGAACAAAAAAGAAAGTTACAACATCAATTTTGTGAATAAATATATTTTATTACTGTTAAATTATGTTTATGTTTTTATCCAAATAATTTTACTTACTGTTATTCTTTCAAAATTAATGTAACACTAATTAAGACTTTGCTCTCCTTTTTGGTTTTTCCAAGATTTTCTTTACATAAAAGAATTGATCAGTCATATCTCCAAAATAATTTTAAGGAAAAATATGCAAGAATAAATGAAGAGATTGTTAGTGATAACAATCCAAATTTATGTAGCACTTTAAGATTTGCAAAGCACTTTATTTGCAATAATCCTTTGCAATAGGTCATATAAGTATTATTACATCCCCATTTTAGAGATGAAAAAATTGAGGTTCTGAAGGGTTAAGTGGAATGCCCATGAGCAAGTTGCAATGAGTTTCGGAGGCAGGATCCAAATTCAAGTCTCCTGATCCTAGATTCAACACTCTAGCCACTATACCAGCCTGCCTCTTGGCAGAATAATGCTGAGAGTGTGCTAGCTCAGAAAACTAATAAATCAAATGAAAGATGCCTTCTTGAGCCCCAATTAAGTTCAAAGCACTGTGTTAGGAAGGTAAAAAGAATTCTGTGGGTCCTAGTGTCAGAGAATTAATATGATTGAAAAAGCAAGATATTAATTTAAAAATTCAAATATAAACAAGCAAGTAGTTTTTAATGCTGTAAAACAATTACATAGTCATGGACTTAGTATTAAACATTTTACATTAAAAATATGTGGGAACAGGGAAGCTACATTCGATATTAACCCCATTAGATTGTGAGCTCCTTCAGGTCAGGGACTTTCTTTTGCTTTTCTTTGTATCCCCAGAATTTAGCACAGTGCCTGGCACATAGTAGGATCTTAATAAATGTTTATTGACTGATGGACTGGGACATAAAAGACAAAGGTCTTCTATTAAACTTATTTTTAAAAATTCATGGAAGAGTCAAACCATTTTTTAAAATTTTACAAAACAGTTATATAGATAAGGACTCAGAAATACTTAAAACGAATTCTTCTGTGGCAAAAATAATCATGCCTTCATTTATCACATACTTAAGTGAATTTTTAAATAATGAAGTTTTCTAAAAGTGAGGTGCACAGATACCACTAGAATTTTAAAGTGTACCCCTTTAGCTTCATTGATAATATTTAATATTGAATTTAATAAAAGGCTAAGATCCTAGATTCAAGATGGAAGGGACTTTTGAGATTATCTAAACAAGCACCCTCGTTTTAAGGATAAGGAAACTGGCCTGAGAAGTGATGAGTGTCCTAAGGTCACCAGTAGGATAATAAATCTTAAAACCTAGGTCCTCTGATTCCAACACATACACACACACACACACACACACACACACACACACACACGCACACACACACATGCACACACACACATGTCCTTGGTTCCATTTTTCTTTAGTGATAATTACAAGGATACATTTTCCACAGCTGGCCAGTAGTGGTTAGGAAGATACAAGGCTTTTGCCTCCTGATGCATACTTTTTAAGGCTTCCCAAGGCTCCTTTCATCACACATTGAAACAGAGGGAACATACATGAACGGGAACAACACAACCTAAGTGGACTATCTCTATCCTTTCAGGCTTTCTTCTGTGGTGTTATCTCTGTTTCCATGCTTCTCAATCTTTTCTTTGGACTTTTCAGAATTTTATTTGGTGAGAAGATGAGCTATCTCTGCTTTTTACTTCTAGATCTTCACTTTGAAATTTTTTTCTGCCTTTTGATTGGCCCTGACTTTGTTTGGAGGTTGCTTCTTTGGCCAAAAACTGGCAAAATATGCTTTTTAAAGGAATGTATCATGCAAAGTAAAAGGTTTACAGGTTTATTTTATCTACTGATAAATGTACATTTCTTTTTTGGGGGGAAAGGGATGGGGAATCTTCCAAGGAGGTTTGCCTTTGAAG